CGGCTCTCGGGAACGGGGCGGGCAGGCCCTGGGGCTCCGTGTGGCCGCCAGGCGGCCGAGGGCGGGTCCGTCCCGGGGCCGCCCGCCGCCCTCGCGAGTTGCGCCCAGCCTTGCCAGGCGCCGTAGGAATCGACTGCACAGGCCCATTTTACGGACGAGGAGACAGACCCCGCGGAATCAGCACTCGGTCGTCGTCCCCGAGCCCACCCCGCCCATCGACCTCTTTCCCGGGCCTCGGTTTCTCGCCCGTACAACGAGGGGTTGGCCTAAGATGTCTAAGAGCTTAGGGAGAGGAGGAAGGGGAACTAAGTAGGAGCCTGAAAGGTGGGCCAGGGTCAGACAGGCAGGAAGGAGCTGAGGTTGCTCCAGAGCTGGCTTGTCCACCAGAAATCGGGAGGAAAAAAAAATTCTGACCCTGTAACTAACTAAAGGCCTAAGCGTGATAAGCAGAGTAGTAATGCTCGTTGGGAAGACTGACTGACTGGTGCGGGGTGGAGGGAAAGCGTCCCTTCAGCGCTCTATGGAGGTTCCAGAGATGACATGAATGGAGACATGGCATACACACTTGGGAACATGTATGCACAGGGGAGACCACAAATAGGAGGCTCGAGGAAGGGCCAGTTGGTTGAGGCGTAAATATCCTCTTCATAAGGGAGAGGGAAGTGGGGGTGCGGGCAGTTGTGAGGGGTAGTGCATGATTTTCAGGGGAAACGATAAACCCCAAAACAGTGTCCTGGGAAGAAGCTCCTCTGAGCTCTGGGGGAGGTGGTGGGAAGGTGAGGGGCAGAACTCCACTGTGAATACAGGTTGTCTTATTATGCAGATAATCTTCCAGGTAATCTCCACCCCCCCCAGCTGTTCTCAGAACAGATGAGTAGAATTGAATAAGTCACATTCTCCCCCTCCCCCCCAGTTACCTAGGGGGTCTGGAGGCTGGTTCACCACATAAGGGACAATTTCAGAGTAGAAAGAAGCCGAGTGGGAGGGAGAAAGAGGAGACTTCAAGTAGAGGAGGGTCCCAGGAGCCAGGCTCTGGAGCCCACACCTGCCCTGTGGAGCTCAGCCCTGGGTGTGCCCATCGATGGGGGTTTCAAGGGGAGACTTTCCAGAAAGGCTTGCAGACAGGAGTGGCGTGTGACCCCTCAGAGGCTTGTGAATAACTATATTGGGGGGCCCCAGGCTTGATGGTGGAGTTAGAAGAGATGGGGGACCCAGGGGATAGGGGGACAGTGGTACATTTCAGGTTGGTGTCCCACCCGGTTGAGAGGAAAGAGGGGCAAAGGACACAGGTTGGAAGTGGCCACAGTGACTGCTCAGGTGGGACAGAGGATGAGGATTTGGCCTCAGTCCTCAGACTGACCAGTGCCTATAGAGTTCCATCCCCCTACCCCCAACTCCTCTGCCTGTGTTCCCACCATTTTGTTCCAATGCCAGTCAGCTGTCACCTGATCTAACAGTTTACCACAGCGCAAACCAGCCCTCTGCCAATGGCAGGAGACCCTGAGCATGGGGCGGCCATCCCTGCTGGCCTAAGGGGTTTGCAGTTGATCATGGACCAGTGAAGGAGGTTCTGGCCTTGCAACCACTGAGGCGGGACCACGGTTGCACATAGACTTCTGTAAATGGGCGTGGCCGTGTCAGGGCCAGCTGCAATGCCAACCCCACCCAGAAGGTGGCTGGGAGTGATCAGGACTCTGCCTGTGAAGTCTGATAGATTTCATCTCCAGCCTGCCAGCAATTTATCATAATGGCTACCATTTCCTGAGCACGTCCTGTGCTGACTCTGGACATGATGTGCATTATCTTATTTAATCCGCACAACAGCTTATGAGGGAAATATAGATTTGATCCCCAGATGACAGGAACTGGAGACCAGCGAGGCGAGAGAAGGATCCTGGCTCTCTCCATTCCAACTCCCCCCCTTCTCCCTGCCCTCTTCTCTCTTGCCCTTCTCCTGCCTTCCTTAGGGAGGCCCAGCTGGGCCTGGGGGTGGGTACCATGTGACCTGACTCCCCAGGGAGCTTTCCTGCCTGCCAACTGGACTCCCTGACCAGACTGAGGCTGATGGCAGCCAGAGTCAGAGCAGAAGGACCCCCAGGGCTGTCACCCCAGCCACCTGGGGGGCACAGGCCTTTTTAGATGTCTGTTCTAGCAAACTGACTCTGAAAACCCATTTTTTAAAGCGATGGGTCCACTGGAGTATGAACTGTGTCTTAATGATCCCAGAGAATCTTTTTAGCGCGGATGTGAAGTGGTCAGAGCCTCAGCCAATGGACCTGCCTTCCTCTGCAGCTTGGGGGTTGCCTCCCAGCTCTACCATTTCCTAGACCTAGCAGGCATCCTCCTGCTCTGTTTCCCTTTGCTGTCTGCAGCTGGGGTGGGGTGGGAGGGCCCTTGGAGCACAATTCTCCTTCGTCAGTTCCCTGCCTTCCATGTATATTGGTGCGTGGCCAGGTGGGAGTGACCCTGCTTCCCTCCCAGGTTGACTTTTAGGCTGTAGGGGCATTGGCCTCTGGGTAGCATTCTTTGGAAAAGTTCTCAGTTTAAATCCCGGCCTTGCCCCTCACTGCCTCTCAGTTCCTGGGTGGGTGCATTTTTATTTAAACCCCTAGCAGTTGTTGAGGTAAAAAACTCAAATGATTCCACGGAGCAGACAGGGAGTAGAAACACATGGGGCTGGGTGTCAGAGGACTGTAAGGTCTTATTTTATTATAATTAGCTTTTTATTTTTTATTTTTGAGACAGGGTGTTACTCTGTTATTTAGGCTGGGGTGCAGTGACATGATCACAGCTCACTACAGCCTCACCCTTTTGGACTCAGGTGATCCTTCCGCCTCAGCCTCCCAAGTAACTGAGACTATGGGTGCATGCCACCATGTCTGGCTCATTTTTTAATTTTTTTGTAGAGATGAGGTCTATGTTGCCCATTCTGGCCTTGAACTCCAGGCTTAAGCAATCCTGCCTCAGTCCCCCAAAGTACTGAGATTACAGGTATGAGCCACCATACCTGGCCAGCTTCTACTTTTTAATTAAAAGAGATATTAAAAATAAAGGAAAGACACTGCCCCCACCTCCCCAGGCTGCAGGAGAACTTGGAAGTTTGGGTCCCACTGAAAGCAGGGAGTAGACGAACCAAGCCTGGGGGGGTGATGGCTGCACCTGGATTGGTATCAGGAGATCTAGGCTCTTCCTCTTTTCCTGAGTTCTCTTATGTTCTTGACTTATGTGGGCCTTGGTTTCCCCAAGTGGTCTGCAAGATGTGGAGGCCAGCATGGATGACCCGCAAAGGGGAGCGTGGCTCTGACATTCCCAGGTTGTCAGGCCCAGCCTGCGGTCTCCAGCCGTGTTCCGGGAAGTCTGAACACAGTTCAACACCCACTGTTGGTGAAGCTCCCCCAGGTTTTGTTCGTGAACATTCCTTCCCTGGTGTCTGCTCAGAGGCTGGCTGTGCCCAGACCTCTCCCTCTCCCAGCGCCCCCGGGCTCTCACAGGTGAGCAGGAAGGGGCTGCTCTAGAGGCTGGGCCGGAGGGTCCCTCCAGTGGAGCAGGATCTGGCAGAGGCACTGCTTGTCCCTGAAGCTGGAGGTGACCGGCTGCAAAGTTCCAGAGGGCCCGCAGGTGGGGACCCTACTGGACATGCTGGGGACTGCAGAAGGCCCATGTGCCCAGGGTGACACTGGGCTCCATCCGCCTGTCCTGTGACCCCTCTTATTCCTTCCCCAGCCAAGCTGAGAGTTATAGACTGTCTGGAGCAGGACTGGGGGGGAGACACAAGCTCTTTGTTTTGTTTTGTTTTTAAAGGTTAAGAAAGAAAAGTTTATTTAAAAGTAAATTAGAGGGAGAAAAGGGAGAAAGAAGATTTACCTCCCCAAGGTGGGGGAGGGGACCACAGCCAGGAAGCATGGCGACAGCCATAGCTCAAAGAGCACATGGCCACAGCATGTGCTAGCAAGGCAATGGCCCTCAAGCTCTTTGTTAGTGCAGGTTTTTCCACTGCCGCTTCCCAGCTTAGGAAATGAGAGACCCTGGAGGCCCCCACATGTGGGTTGAAGTCCCAGGACTCGGGCTCCCCTTCCTTCCTGGCCCAGGTTGTCTGAACACTGACCGGGGGGAGCCACGGAGCTTGGCAGGTCTGGCCACAGCCTGAGGGAACAGTAGGGATTCAGGCCCTGTCGGAGGCGACTGAGCTAGGGTGTGTGCCAGGGAGCAGGAAGCTCGAGCCTTTTCTCCTCAGAAGGGTGGGACCCTGGGGTCTTCAGCCTCCTACCCACTAGCTCCCCATGTCTCGAAGAGCTAGAATTTTCTTAGAGGAGTGGAAGGTGGTTCTTCATGCCTTCTCCCACTGCCCTGTCCTCAACAGGTCAGCACATCTGGGAGGCGACATGCACCATCTAGGTGGTGTTCTTTCTCTTTAAAACACGGTCTCAGAGCTCCCCCATCCAGGGATGGTTCTCAGCCCCCTCCAATCCCTTATGCCTGTGCAGCTTCTCAGGGTCAGGATAGATATGTGCAGCTTCTGAGAGGCAGCTGCTTGGAGCCAGGCAAGGGGCAGCTTTGCAGGTCTGGGTCCAGAGGCCGGTCCCTTGTGGTCCTGGCAACGAGCTGCCCTCTGAAAAATCCTTTGTGAGTGACCATCTGAAGGGGCTCGACAGGGATCATAGGTCTTGCACTCCAGCCCAGCACCCGAGCACCGGATGCTCCCAAAATCATGTCAATGATTCAATTGCATTCCTTTCATTTTCCACATCTTCCTCTTTGACACTTGGGGCAACATCCTACCACTTGTAGAATTCGGCAGGTCACCCCAGCGGCCGTGTTTGTGGGCAGCCATGTGGATGTGTGTCCTCCTCTCCCCAGGTTCCTGGTGTTTCTCCGGTACCAGTGTCACTACGGGTACCCACTGCTGACCTACCTCGAGTACCCCATCCTCATCGCACAAGGTAATATCCCTCTGTGTCTGGGTCAGATGGGCTGCCCGAGGTCTCCCCTGGCCCCTCTCACTTGGAGCCTTTCTCTTGCAGACGTCATCCTTCTCCTGTGTGTCTTTCATTTTAACGGAAACGTGAAGCAGGCCACTCCGTACATCGCTGTGTATCCTTTCAGCATCTGAGAGTCAGAAGTGGGACTTGGGTGTGTTATTTATTTTTTTTGAGTTGGAGTCTCACTCTGTCACCCAGACTGGAGTGCAGTGGCACACAGGCTCACAGTCACCCCCGTGTCGACCTGCCGGACTCCGGCGATCATTTCGCCTCTGCCTTCCAAGTTACTGGAACTATAGGCGCACGTTACCACTCCTGGCTAATTTTTTTGATTTATTGTAGAGACGAGGTCTCGCCAAGTTGCCTGGGCTGGTCTTGAACCCGTGGACTCAGGCAATCCACTCGCCTCGGCCTCCCAAAGTGCTGGGATTACAGGCTGAGCCACCAAGCCCGGTGGGTGTGCTATCTGCTAATAGTTTGCATTATGAAGCAGGGTCCTTCACCATTTAACTGAAAATGAAACCCAAATGCAAGTATACCTACACAGATCAGACCTTCCCCTCCCCCTTCAGACCAGGGCACCGAGGTGGTACCAACAGGCCTAGTGGGATGTGCCGAACATCGGTGTGAGCCCTGCTGAGAGCAACACTGTTTAGCTGCACTAGCATATCTGAGGCGTTTCTTCCTTCCCTGGAAATGTCCCCATAGCATTTTTTTTTTTTTTTGAGTCTGAGTCTCACTCTCACTCAAGCTGGAGTGCAGTGACACGCTCACAGCCACTGCAGCCTCGGCCTGCTGGGTTCAGGCGATCCTTCTGCCTCAGCCTCCAAAGTAGCTGGAAATACAGACAAATGCCACCATGCCTGGCTGATTTTTTGATTTATTGTGGAGATGTGTTCTTGCCAAGTTGCTCAGGCTCTTCTTGAAACCCTGGGCTCAGACAGTCCTCTCGCTGCCACCTCCCAAAGTGCTGGGATTACAGGTGTGAGCCACCGTGCTGGCAGCCCCAAAGTATTTGACGTAATAAGCATGAGAACATCTGACGTTGCACACCATGCTGCTGACGTGTCTGGTCCCCTGGCCTGCCCATTGCCAAGCAGGGGGTGGGCCTGGGATCCTGCTGGCTTGTCCACAGTGCACATCACACTTCAGTCAAGACACGAGGTTAGAGGCTGAGCCTTGAAGTCCAAGTGTCAGTCGGTGACCCTGAGGCTAGTGGTAGTGCCGCTGCACCTGTGAAGTGGTCTGAGCTGTTTATTCCTGCAGGCTCTTTAGGGCGGAGGAGGGAGGGAGCTGCCAGTTCCGTGGGCCCAGCTGCCCTGAGCACCAGACCATGCAGATGTAGGTGTGGGGCATTGGAGTCAGGCAGGACAGGTCTCCACCACCACCTGGGTGGCCTTAGCCTATGCCATCAACTCTCTAAGCTGCAGCTCTCCCATCTGTGAAATGGGATAATACTACCTTTTAGGGTTATAGCTCCTACTACGGGTCAAATTTTATAAAATGTTTGCATATTCGGAATACAGAATGAAGTGGAATGGTATAGAATCAGGCAAGAAAAGAAATCACACAATTTGGCTTAAAAAATTGAGTTAGGGGGTGTTTTAGGAACAGGATTCCACCCAGCTAGGTTTAAGCTGCCTTCAGGTGCTGACCAGCCTGCTACTGTTTAGTTCCACTGACATCATCTCTTTCAATTCCTTCATTTAATTAATATTGTTAATTGTAAAGCAGTCTCGTTGGTCCCTGCTCTGTGCCCATAGGCATTTTGGAGGTAGGTAGCACAGGGAATGTTGAGTCCATTTTACAGATAAGCAAACCAAGGTAGAGAGATGGAAAGTGACTTTCCCAAGGGCACCTCAGAGACTCCAGCGGTCGGCTTCCAGCTTTGGTCACTGGCTGGGCAGCCCGTGCGTCGCTTCCCTAGCTGGGCCCCCTGTTCTGTTGCATCTCTGAGCTCCGTGACTGTCTCCCTGCACTCCTACCCAGCCATGTCGTTTTTATAATGCAGTTAGTGGGAAAGGGAAAAAACGGCAAACAGAAGTTCATGACCAGCGGTGTTGAGAACGCTCCTGCCTTATGGTGTTGGACCTCTCTTCAAGTGCTTCACGTTTGACAACACTTGGAGATGTCTGTATGCTTGGGAATTAGGTAGTTAAGACCATTAGGAATGTGCCCAATCCTAGGGTGTCTTTGTGCTTTTCTCCCATGGTCCGCTTTTGTTCTTTTGAACTCTGAGCAGCTGTTCCTTTGAAACCCTTTTGTCTTGTCCACATCCGACGAGTTCCAGCAGCACCGACCCCAGCTCCACACTTGGCTTTCACGCGTGGTCATGGTGTGTTCACGTGAGAGAGGAGGCTGGTGGCAACTGCCGGGCAACCCACTGCTGTCTCCCTTAGCACTTGGTCAGATTGGGGTCTTCTTGGTTTGTCCTCACCCTGCAGAAGTGGATCATAGACCTGGCCATGGTAAGTCTTGCCCTTGAAAAGAAAATGTGAGAAGTTGCAGGCTGTCATGGAGAGAACTTGGTGGATCAGATGTTTAACCTGCTTATTTTTTAGCTGTATTGAGGGATCACGGGAATGACAGCGCAGTGCTGTCCAAATAATGAAAGACATTCTTCTTTTTTTCTTTTTGAGTCATAGTCATGGCTCACTGCAGCCTCAAATTTCTGGGCTCAAGTAATTCTCCCACCTCAGCCTCCCACAGGCATATACCACCACACCCAGCTAATTTTTTTTATTTTTTGTAGAGTCAGAGTTTCACTATGTTGCCCAGTCTGCTCTCAGGCTCCTGGGCTCAAGCAATCCTCTTGTCTGGGCCTCCCAAAGGGCTGGGATTATAGGCATGAGCCACCACGCCCAGCAAAAGACATTCTTATTTAAATGTGGGGCAAAATTTTTTTTCTACCTCTTTTTTTGGGGCCAGAGAAAAGCAGTTGAAGAGGTGGTTAAGGGTTATAGAGTAGAGAACTGAGTGTCAGTTAAAAAGCTTCTTATTAGGTTCATAATTATATATTGGCTGTATCCTCGCTATTTTTCTGACTTTGTCCCCCAAACATTTTTTTTTTCCTCCTTGGAAAGGGCTTACTTCTTCCTTACTTAGTTCATGGCCAGAAATGTCAATGGGTGTCTGATAGTGGGTCAGCATGTGTTTGATCACATCTCTCTCCAGGGTGACAGAAGCAAACATTTCTATCTAATGAGAAAAGGAGGAGGAGAATTAATTGGTGGTCACAGGTCACTACCTGCCACACACGGGCTCATGGATTTCTTTCTCTTTCCCCTCCCCCCAACATCTTGTCTGTGACCCTTTCTTAGAAAGTGGGCTTGATTCTCTGTGTTATGTCTTAACCTAGTGACTTATGGAGAGTGAATAAAGTAGGGCTACCGTATTGGCAATGAATGATGTTGTAGTGTATGTATGTCCAAAATATTGCATGGGACATACTTGTACTAAAAAAGTATCTGTTGTTGGCCTGAAATTCAAAATTTAACTGGGTGTCTTGTATTTGCCAAACTGGTGACCCTACAAATGAACGAGCGCTAGGGTCTCAGGAACTCCTGCTGCTGGTCACGTTGGTGTGGTTCTGGTTTGGGGATGACGAGGCTGCCATGTGGCAGCTCTGAGCCTTCACCCCCCAAGAGCCGCCCTTCTGGGGATAGTGTGATATTGGCTCATCAGGAAACAGGCTCAGTGGTTAAGGGTAACAGTTTATGGTGTTTCTTCTGTGCCCTTATCAGTGGTCTATTCTAACCACACGTTGATGATATTTTATGCATTAAAAAATGTTTTTTTGAGTTGGGGCCTCGCTTTGTCACCCAGGTGAGAGTGCAGTGGCATGATCATGCCTCACCATAGCCTCAACCTCATAGGCTCGGGCAATCCTCCTGCCTCAGCCTCTCAAGTAGCTGGAACTACAGGTGGGCGCCACCACACTCATTTTTTTAATGTTTATTTTTGTAGGGACAAGGGCTTGCCGTGTTACCCAGGTTGAATTTTATACAACTTAATTTTCATTTTCCCCTCGTTGAGCCTGGGCTAAATACCAGGTGCGGTGCTGTGTCTGTTCACCATCCCTCCGTCACTGACAAGCATTCATCATGCACCTGCTCCATGGCCGGCGCCAGGGCCCAGAGGACCAGGTGGCCAGACCTGAGGGGCGTGGAGCCACAGGGCCGGAGGACGAGCAGGGGCTTCAGGACACACACATTGCAGGAAAACCCTAGAATCCCGTAGAGGAGGGGTCACCGTTGGAATTAGCGAAAAACCTAAGTTACAGAATGTTTATAGTTTTACTGCTTTCAAATGTAAGTGCCTACTCAGACCAACAAATTCTTTCCCCAGAAGACCTAAACTATGCTTTCATGGTCAAATGGATCATTCACATGCTCATAGTTCATTCACAAAGAGACGATTCATGCACTGAAAAATGATCTCGTAACAGTTAAGCATCTCTTTTCCTTTCCAGTCCTCTTACCATTTTATACAGTCTCTGCTGTATAGAAAAACCTAATGATCTCCAGTTGAATGTATTAATAAGACCATCCAGGCCTTGGTTATGCCAAAATCCAAACTACTTCTTGATTTTGAGTTGGGGTCTCATTCTGTCACCCAGGCTGGAGTGCAAGTGGCACAATCACGGCTCACCTCAGCCTCGATCTGCTGGGCTCAGCTCAGGCGATCCTTCCACCTCCGCCTCCTGAGTAGCTGGAACTACAAGTGTGTGCCACCATGCCTGGCTAATGTTTTTTTTTTTCTTTTTTGTAGAGATGAGCTCTGTCTATGTTACCCAGGCTGGTCCCAAACTCCTGGACTTAAGCAATCCTCCCTCCTCAGCTTCCCAAATGCTGGAGTTGCAGGCTTGAGCCACTGTGCCTGGATATTTCTTGATTTTAAAGATGGCTTTCTTCCTGAAAGATGAATCTGGTAGAGTTTCTAGCAGGCAAGCTTGCGTTTAGCATGAGTTTGTCGTAACGTGGTCTGAGGCCCTGAATTGTGTGAAGCCAACTCTTCCCTCGCCCTCTTCCATCCTGCATTGCCACCTTGTATGCCCACTGAGCCCTTGTCCTTCCTAGCTCTCTGACGCACGTCTTGCTCTGCGGTCCTCCCTTCTCTGCTCTGTCCAGGTCTCCCGGTTGCACAGGGAGTCTCTTTCCTCGCAGGTCTCCATGCTCGGGGTCAGTCCTCTGAGCCATCTGTGCCCAGCTCCTAGTGTGACCTGTCTCTGTCCCTCCACAGGCTTGACCACAGGCCCTCGCTCCCTGCCGTTCAAATCTCCATAACTCTTACTTGTCTGAGTAACCCCTTCTTTCCTCCCAAGTTATCCTGTGGTACCTTTACCATCACATCTGCCAAATAGCATTATTATTAAGGACTTATTCACTCAGCAAGGATGTGTGGGTACTGGGGACCCAGCAGGAAACTGACCAAGTGCAGCTTTCATGGGCTTTCCTTCTCCTGGGGAGATAGAAGTTAAACAAGCTGCTCTTGTCAAGGCCACCAGTGACTTTCATTCATGCCAATGCCAGAGGTCAGTTCTCATGACTCATCGTTTTTTTTCTTTTTCTTTTTTTAGTAGAGATGAGATCTTGCTATGTTACCCAGGTTGGCAAACTGCTGGGCTCAAGCGATCCTCCTGCCTTGGCTTCCCGAAGTGCTGAGATGACAGGTGTGGGCCACCGTGACCAGCCTCATGGCTCATCTTACTTAACATCTCTACAGCATTTGATTTGGCAGATCAGGATTCCTCCTTGAATCAGTTTGCTCACTCAGCTTCCAGGACCCCACTCTCCTGGTGTCCCTTCCACCTGATCCTATGTCTTTGCCAGTTTCTCTTTTTTTTTTTTTTAAGTTGGAGTCACTCTGTCACCCAGGCTGCTGGAGTGAGTGGCACACTCACGGCCACTGCATCCTCGACCTGCTGGGCTCAGGCAATCCTTCCACCTCAGTCTTCCAAGTAGCTGAAACTACAGATGCATGCCACCACGCCTGGGTAATTTTTTGATTTATTGTAGAGATGAGGTCTCACCAAGTTACCCAGACTGGTCTCAAACCCCTGGGCTCAGGCAATCCTCTCGCCTCGGCCTTCCAGCATGCTGGGATTTACAGGCGTGAGCCACTACACCCGGCCTCCCCGACTTCTTTAACACTAGCGGTCCCAGAGATCCAGCACATCCTGCTGATATTCAACCACCAGTTCTATGGCTACACTCCTCTGGCCCGTTAGCATCTGGACCTCACACGTTCTACCTGGAGTTTCTGTTCTCCTGTCTGCCCCTCTATCCGGCAAAACTGCGCCACCTACAGCTTTATTTATCTACCTCAATTAAGGGCAACTCTTCTTCCACTGTGAAGACCTGAAACCTTGGAGTTTGGAATCACCCTTGACTTAATTTCTCATATCTCACCACCACTGCCTCAGCAAATCCTATCAGCTTTGCCTTTGAGATACATTCAGAACCGGAACATTCTCACCTCTTCTGTTTCTATCGCCTTGGTGCAAACCTGGCACTAACCTAGCTGGGCTCTTGGCTTCCACCTTGCTCCCTTCAGTCTACATTCAGCCTATCCCTGGAGTTTCCACTGCTGTAGAGACAGGATGGTGGCGGTCAGGGTGGAGTGTGCTGTGCCTGGCTGCAGGCTAATGTGTGAAGGCCTCGTATGTTGTCAGGTAGCAGAGGCTTGAGCGCATTCCATGCAGACTCATCAGAGCAGCCAGAAATTCAGGGCAGAGGTGCCATAGCTGCTTGACTTCATGAGTTTGTTAGTTCAGCACAGCACATTTTCTCCAGGCTGTAAAACACCATAATATCTATTTTTTCTTGGGGGCATGGAGAGATGTGCCTTTGTGGCCATGCAGGATTGTTTCTTACTCCCAATTTCACAGGCACTCTGGCCCGTTCACTCCCCACGGCACGGTGGACTCTGTGAATTGTTTGTAAATGTCTCACTGTTGCATCCTTTTTCACCAAACTCAGGTTTCAGCCCTGTACAAATTGGTTATTAATTGACCAAGTGACTGGACTTCTACTTCACCAGAAAATCTGACTTCGAAAGTGCTTTGAGTGCCAGGTGCCTTTTTGCTTTTTTTTTTTTTTTAATGCACAGATTCCTGACTTTCTCACATTTGATCTGCACACAGAATTTATGTACGTTGATCAGTGCGGCTAGCAAGTTTGCTCAGCTCCAGTGTCTGTGGAAGGCGGGAGACGCGGGAGCTGTGAGCGCGCTTACTTGGGGCCTCTCCTCGTACACCTGTGCAAGTAAGAACACAACTTGGATGGGAGGGAGGCCTCTGTCAGCACCGGCTGGCTATCTGGAAGGGTGCTGGCTTGGTGTGGAAGTATCATAGTCCTTCTACTACTTTGCAATTAACTATTAGATAGAACCTCCTATCTAAGTGTATCTGCATCAGTGAGGCTGGTTTAATACAGGCTGCTCTCCATTTCCTGCAAGATCTAGTTGCCCCCCCCCCAAAAAAGATGAAAGCACACTTTTCTCTAAAAATCTGGCCTAATATTAACAGTCTACTTTAAAAAAAAACAAGAGGTTATTTTGACTCTACTAATTTATTTTTAAAAATAAAATCTTTATGATGTAACATGAAAAAGACAAAAATCACACACTGGCTTTTGAGAATGAACATAATTTGTAGCAATGGCGATTTCCTGCAGCCATGTCAACTGGGACTCAACTTGAGTATTTCCACTGTTCGTTTGCATTCTTACAGAAACGACCTAAAATACATATGTGCTATATGTAGCTAGATAGAAACATATGAAAAATTCAGAGCTATCACATTAATTGAATTTACTAGTTTTAGATATTTTAATTGTACTTAATCATGGTCCTTCTAACTTCTTAGACAAATTTCTCTATTCAGGACCTAAACTTTGGACATTATATCCAAAATTTCTTAAAATTAAGACTTCGTTGGATGTGGTAGCTCATGCCTGTAATTCCAGCACTTTGGGAGGCCAAGGCAAGAGGATTGCTTGAGCCCAGGAGTCTTAAGACCAGCCTGGGCAACATAGTGAGACCTTGTCTCTATTAAAAAAATTTAAAAATTAGCTGGGCGTGGTGGTACATGCCTGTAATCCCAGCTCAGGTGTAAGGATCACCTGAGCCCAGGAGGTAGAGATTGTGGTGAGCTGTGATCATACCACTACACTCCTGCCTGGGGGACAGAGAGAGACCCCAACTCAAAAAAAAAAAAGACTTCTTGAGTTACTTTTACCTTTAAAATGCGGACATGTTATTGTGTAATATATATGACTTCTGGAAGTGCTAATTAGATATATTACCAAATTAATCTTCAGGTTTCTTAATTTTTAAATGTTGCTTATTACATTTTAAAGGAAATCCTGTGAACTTGTTACTCCAGAGAGAAACCATATATTACACTTGAATCTATTTTGCATGGCACTCTGTGCTTAACAAGTACTTAAGTATTTGTGGAATAGATTAAAAATGAGTTGAAGACTACTTTTTTTTTGAGTCGGAGTCTCACTCTGTCGCCCAGGCTGGAGTGCAGTGAAACGCTCATGGCCACTGCAGCCTTGACCTGCTGGGCTCAGGCGATCCTTCTACCTCAGCCTTCTAAGTAGCTGGAACTACAGGCATGCGCTACCGCACCCAGCTAATTTTTTGACTTATTGTAGAGATGAGGTCTTGCCAAGTTGCCCAGACTGGTCTTGAACTCCAAAGCTCAGACAATCCTCTTGCTTCAGCCTCCCAAAGTGCTGGGATTACAGGCTTAAGCCACTCACTCGGCCTGAAGACTATACTTTTTTTTTTTTGAATTGGAGTCTCACTCTGTCGCCCAGGCTAGAGTGCAGTGGCACACTCACGGCAACCCCAACGTTGACCGGCTGGGCTCTGGTGATCCTTCTGCCTCAGCCTTCCAAGTAGCCGGAACAACAGGCGCATGCTACCACACCCGGCTAATTTTTTGATTTATTGTAGAGAAGAGGTCTCGCCAAGTTGCCTTGGCTGGTCTCAAGCCTGCAAGCTCAGGCAATCCACTCGCCTTGGCCTCCCAAAGTGCTGGGATTACAGGAGACTATACTTTTATGGGGAAAAAAAAATGAGCTGGTTTTTAAGCCTCATGTTACTTTTTATAAATGAGGCTAATAACTTCAACATCACTTTAGAAATGAATGAAACGTGCATTTTTGTTATTCATCCTAGTTTCCTTCTATTGATTACTAAATTCCACTTCACCTTGGAACGAGTCACTACCATGTACCTTTATTAAAAGGCCTCTGAGGTGAGAGGATTGCCTGAGCCTGCGGGTTCGAGACCAGCACGGGCAACTTGGCAAGACCTTATCTCTACAATAAATTAAAAAAACAATTAGCTGGGCATGGTGGTGCATGTCTATAGTTCCCGCTACTTGGAAGGCTGAGGCGGAAGGATTGCCTGAGCCCAGTAGGTCAATGGCTGGGATGGCCGTGGATGTGCCACTGCACTCCAGCCTGGGCAATAGAGTGAGACTCTGACTCAAAAAAAAAAAAGACCTTTTTTCCCTGCAGTCACCTGTTGCACAATAGATTTCTTGAACTTATTCTTCCCAAGTGCAATGGCGTATTTTTTGACCAGCCTCTCCCAACTTCTCCGTCCCATCCCAACCCTATGGTAATTACCATTCCACTCTACTTCCATGAATTCTATAGATTCCATTTATATAAGTGGGATCATGCTGCGTTTGTATTTCTGTGCCTGGCATATTTCACTTCTTTTTTTAAAATTTTTTGAGTTGGAGTCTCACTCCATCGCCCAAGCTGGCGTGCAGTGGCATGCTTACGGCCACCCCAGTGTCCACCTGCTGGGCTCTGGCAATCCTTCTGTTTCAGCCTTCCAAGTAGCTTGAACCACAGGTACACACTACCATGGCTGGCTAATTTTTAAATTTATTGTAGAGATGAGGTCTTGTCAAGTTGCCTGGGCAGGTCTCGAACCTGTGGGCTCAGGCAATCCCCTCACCTCGGCCTCCCAAAGTGCTGAGGTTACAGGCTTGAGCCACCACGCCTGGCCATATTTCACTTCTAATGCACATTTTTTTTTTTTTTTTTTTTGAGTTGGAGTCTCACTCTGTCGCCCAGACTGGAGTGCAGTGGCCGCTCCTGGCCACCGCAGCTTCGACCTGCTGGGCTCCGTCGATCCTTCCGCCTCAGCCTTCCAAGTAGCCAGAATTACAGGCATACACTACCACACCCGGCTGATTTTTTTATTTATTGTAAAGATGAGGTCTCGCTGCCCAGGCGGGTCTCGAACCCGCGGGCTCAGGCAATCCACTCACCCCAGACTCCCAAAGGCGCGGGATTACAGGCTGAGCCACCGAGCCTGGCTTTGCTTTCCACATTTAATGATAGTGTCACAAATGGGATTTTCTTTTTTAAGGCTGAATAGTATTCCATTATGTATATATACCACATTTTCTTTATCTGTTCCTCTGGTGTTAAACACCTGGGTTGATTCCCTGTCTTGGCTATTACGAATAATGCTACAATGAATAGTGGCATTATTTTTTATTTTTGTAGAGACAGAGTCTTGCTCTGTCACCCAGACTGGCAGTTGTGTACTACAGCCTTGAACTCCTGGGCTTAAGTGATCCTCCTGCCTCAGCCTCCCAAGTAGCTGAGACTACAGGCACATACCACCATGCTTGACTAATTTTTTAAAAATTGTTTTTAGCCAGGTGCAGTGTCTCATGCCTGTAATCCCAGCACTTTGGGAGGCAGAGGTGAGAGGATTGCCTGAGCCCAGGGTTTGAGACCAGTCTCGGCAACTTGGTGAGACATCATCTCTATAATAAATTTAAAAATTAGCTGAGTGTGGTGACGCATACTTGTAGTTCTAGCTACTTGGAAGGCTGAGGCAGAAGAATTGCCTGAGCCTAGCAGGTCGAGGTTGTGGTAGTCTGAGTGTGCACTCTAGCCTGATGAGACTGACTCAAAAAAATGTTTTTTCTATTTTTAAAAATAGAAACAGGGGTCTCACTATGTTGCTCAGCCTACTCTTGAACTCCTTGACTTCAAGGGATCCTCCCAGAGTGCTGGGTTTACAGGGGTGAGCCACCATGCCCGACTGAGATATTGATTTTATTTCCTTTGGTTATATAACCAGTAGTAGAATTGGTGGACCATATAGGGAGTGTATAAAAACACAATCATAGCTCATTGACGCCTCAACCTGCTGGGCTCAGGCGGTCCTTCCACCTCAACCTCCCAAGTAGCTGAGACTACAGACAAGTGCCACCATGCCTGGCTAATTTTTTTATTTCTTGTAGAGACAAGGTCTCGCTTTGTTGCCTAGACTGGCCTCAAACTCCTGGGTTCAAGCAATCCTCCTGCCTCAGCCTCCCAAAGTCCTGGGATTACAGGTGTGAGCCACCATGCCCAGTTGTTTTCTATAATGACTGTACTAATTCACATTCTCACCCAGAGTGTGCAAGGGTTCCCTTTTCTCTACATCCTCACCACTTGTCATCTTTTTTGAGGATAGCCATTTTAACCAGTGTGAGGTGATATTCATTGTGATTTTAATTTGCATTTCTCTGATGATTAGTGATTAGCTTTTTTTTTTTTGAGTTGGAGTCTCAGTCTGTTGCCCAGGCTGGAGTGCAGTGGCACGCTCATGGCCACCCCAGTGTCGACCTGCTTGGCTCCGGCGATCCTCCTGCCTCAGCCTTCCAAGTAACTGGAATTACAGGCATGTGCCACCATGCCCGGCTAATTTTTTGATTTATTGCAGAGATGAGGTCTCACCACGTTGCCCGGGCTGGTCTTGAACTCATAGGCTCAGGAAATCCACTCGCCTCGGCCTCCCAAAGTGCTGGGATTATAGACTGAACCACTGAGCCCAGCCAGCGTTTTTTTTTTTTTTTCAAGACAGAGTCTTGCTCTGTCACCCAGGCTGGAATGCAGTTGTGTGATCATAGTTCCCTGCAGCCTTTAACTCCGGGGCTCAAGTGATCCTCCTGTCCCAATCTGCTAAAGTGTGAGCCACCACGTCCAGCTTGATTAACAGTTTGTCATATACCATTTCTAAATTTGGCCATTTGTTTGAATTCCTTATATATTTTGGATACTGACCCCGTATCAGATGTATGGTTATTAAGAGTGTTTTTGAGTTTGCTTGAGGGTCCTTGTTGGTCACCTTCCTAACTGGGATCTTCTTTTCATCTACTTTGATTGATTTCTTCCATTTAAATTCATCAGCAAACATCACATAGCATCTTTATGTAAAGCCTTGGGTTCTCAAATTTGACAACAAAAAATTTGTAGGTTTGGTGTCTGCCCTTCACAGACTTACAGTTTAGCTGGAAGACCAAAAACCTACTATGTTAATATGTGCTAATGGAAGAACGTGTTGGAGGAAGTTTTTGTTTTTTGTTTCTTTTTTTGAGTTGGAGTCTCACTCTGTTGCCCAGACTGGAGTGCAGTGGCCGCTCCCAGCCACCGCAGCCTAACCTGCTGGACTCCGGCGATCCTTCCGCCTCAGCCTTCCAAGTAGCCGGAATTACAGGCATGCGCTACCACGCCTGGCTGATTTTTTTGATTTATTGTAGAGATGAGGTCTCGCTGCCCAGGCGGGTCTCGAACCCGCGGGCTCAGGCAATCCACTCACCTCAGCCTCCCAAAGGCGCGGGATTACAGGCTGGGTTAGGAAGGGCGTGATGCCTTCAGTTGCAGGCAGTGATGTTCTCTAACTCCCAGTTCACATTGCTCGCATGTGTCAGTTTAAACTGTGACCCCAGTTTCCTAAGTGTTTACTCAGTGAAAGCCTAAACCGGAAAAATGGAATAAACACAACCGTTCTAGTTAGACCCTTAGAAAAATCTTATCCTTTTCTGGGCCTCAGTCTCCTTATCTAAAATAGAGAGGCAGAAATCAGCAATTTAACAACATTGCTTTTAGTTAGTGGGAGCCCTTTTTTTTAAAAAAATGAAACTACCCTGAAGCTCAGTATGTAAATGAGACTTTTTAAAGCTGTTTTTGAGGGTGGGAGTTGTGGGTTGGCCCAGAAGCTGTGGAAGGAGCTGCGGGCGTCCCTGGGCAGCACTGAAGTACTTTCCAGGATCGTTTCTTCTCTCAGGAGCTGTTTCAAAACCTCTGGGCCAGGATGTGCAGCTGGGTTTCAGATGTTTATGAAATACAGTACTATCTTCTGTACTGTCCAAATCTATCAAGAATAGTTAGTACATATTGATATGGTAGAAGGGAAAAACATTAGCTAAACACTAACACGTCTGAGAAGCAAGCTAAATATTGCTGCACGTTTTCTTTTACAGCAAGAATAATAACAACTTTAATGACCACAAGTGATTTTACAAGTAAGTAAAGTATTTTTCTTCCTACTTCCTTGAGCTTCTGGACTCTACCAGTCCTCCCACCTCAGCCTCCCAAAGTGCTGGGATTATAGGCATGAGCCATCACGCCTGGTCTTCTTCCCACTTCCTTTTTGAATTTTGTGCTATTTGTGCCTCCTTCAGCTGGAAACTGGGTTTAACGGGTGAACTTGGCTCTGTTGGATCACAGACACAGAGGATGGCGACAAGGTATTCCTCGCCTTCATCACTCATGTGTTTATTAAGCATTTACTTCTTGTAGCACAGGGAATAGACTATGCACAAGAGGGCAGGTAGGTGTCTGTCTTCGTAAGGTCTCTCTTCAGCAGTGGAATGGAACATGAAGTAGTCACAGAATTAACGACTGAACTGAACTATGAAATGTGTCTTGGAAGAGAAGGGCGGAATGAATATCTGACCTAGTTTGAGGGAGCTGGGGAGATCAATCTGAAGAAGAGTGAGCTCTTAAGGATGAGTGGATTTAACGGAGGTGGGAGGGAGGTAGGCGGGTGAGAGGATATTGTTACAAGGAGCAGCATGTATGAAGGCCATGAGCAAGGAGCAGGGGAGGACTGGGCAAGATCCAGCAGGGCTGAGTGTGGCAAGCCGGGACAGGAATGGGGGTGTTTCAGGAGAGGAGGGGCGTGAGGCTGGCAGTGGCCAGAGTGTCCAAGCCTGAGAGAACTGTCCACAGACAGGAGGAAGCCTCTGGAGGCTTAGTAAAGCAGGGAAGTGGTAGAATTATTTGTGCTCTTGTAGAGAGAGAGAGAGAGAGACAGAGACAGAGACAAAGAGAGAGAGACAGAGAGAGAGAGACAGAGAGAGAGAGAGAGAGAGAGACAGAGACAGAGACAAAGAGAGAGAGAGAGAGACAGAGAGAGAGAGAGAGAGAGAGAGAGCGAGAGAGCTGGGATGGAGAAAATACTTTAGTTACCAAAAAAGAATTTAGTAATTCCTTAGTGTTTTCAGCTCCCACATTGAGCATATATTATATGTTTTGGGGAAATTAGACCAGATAGTGTCCCCTATGAAAATTAGAAAATTTTCCCAGCACATAGACCTCTAAATAAGCTAATTATTATTTGAGAAATGTTGTTTCAGAACACAGATATATTTGTTAGTCTTCTCCTGGAGGTTATACCGGTGGCTCGAATACCTACCATCAGCTTTGACTACAGGATTAAAATTTGTTCTGGTCACAAACTGTCATCAAGTGGGACATGGGAAGGAAGACAGGCCTGGGTCTTTTTCACAGGACTTGATAAATTCTCAGCATGGAGAGTCCAACTGTAACTAAACAACAACAACAAAACAGACCTATACATTAAAAATTAAATTTAAAAGATCAAGCATATTCTAATTGTGATTTATTTCTTATTCATGAAAACTCTTCTGAGCACCATCAGTGCATCCGGGATACCTTTTTAAAAATCATTTAGCTAATATCTTACCTGTGTTTTACAAAAACAAAAGTATCTTAAATCTCATAAACCTTATTTGTCAGTAAAGTGTTTGTGTTTTAAAGTGGAAGTCGGCCGGGCTCGGTGGCTCAGCCTGTAATCCCACGCCTTGGGATGCTGAGGTGAGTGAATTGCCTGAGCCCGCGGGTTCGAGACCCGTCTGGGCAACTTGGCGAGACCTCATCTCTACAATAAATAAAAATAAAAAAAAATTAGCTGGGTGTGGTAGCGCACGTCTGTAGTTCCAGCTACTTGGAAGGCTGAGGTGGAAGGGTCGCCGGAGCCCAGCAGCCTCGGTGGCCGGGAGCGGCGACTGCACTTCAGTCTGGGCGACAGAGTGAGACTCCGACTCAAAATAAATAAATAAATAAATAAATAAAGTGGAAGTCAAGTCACTGTTAAAAATTACTGTTTTTGTTTTACAAAGAGTCACATTTTTGTTACCTTGATATAAAACACATTTGGACAGTTGACCTAAGTTTTTCAGAATTATCTTTTTTTTTTTTTTTTTGAGTAGGAGTCTCACTCCGTTGCCCAGGCTGGAGTGCAGTAACACACTCATGATCACCCCAGCATTGACCTGCTGGGCTCCGGCGATCCTTCTAACTACAAGCGCATGCCACCACACCCGGATAATTTTTGATTTATTGTAGAAATGAGGTTTCTACAAGCGCATGCCACCACACCCGGCTAATATTTGATTTACTGTAGAAACGAGGTCTCGCCAAGTTGCCTGGGCTGGTCTTGCTCAAGCAATCCACTCGCCTCGGCCTCCCAAAGTGCTGGGATTACAGGCTGAGCCACCGAGCCCGGCCCAGAATCTTAACAGAATGCATCATACTACTTTGCTTAACATGGAATGTTCTGAGACATCAGCATCCTCAAGATTTCAAAGGAGTAAAATGATTTTAAAAGGCTGTAACACTTCTTAGCCAGAGGTAGACTATTATAAATTAAGCACTTAAGAGAAAAACTGTTATTTATGAAGTAAGGCCAAGAGGTAATCATTATGAAATAGGAAGATCATTTCCCTAGAAATACTTGGAACTAAAGTTGTTCAAAGTTTTATGATTCATTGTTGTTTATTTTGGGGTTGGAGGGAGGGCGAAGCTTTATTTAGGCTTATACTTAGAGCAGGAGGTGATCTATCCTGTATTGTGGAAAGTTTTTAATACACTTTTTTTGATTTCAGTTCTTACACGTTTTGTCATCATGCTGGCTTTAAACATATGGGTAACAGCTACAGTACTTCGCTACCGGAAGACCGTTTTAAAGGCTGAATGATGGATAAATTATTTCTACACGTGAAGTGGATTTTGAATAACTAAGTGAACCAAAGGAAAAGAGGCTCCTTGCTAAATCAGTCTTTTATACATTTAATCAATCATTTCAGAATCTATGAAGCCAATGACTTTTTTAGACTTGAAAGAGCACTTAAATATTTGTTTGAAAAATGCCAATTTCCCTTCCCTCTCCCCACTTCATTAGGTTATGGTAGGACTCAGACATCTGCAGTTTTGAGAAGGCTGGTGCCTGATGGACATCGTTCAAGGAAACTTCTTGACCCTTACTCTTGAAGTCATGATTATTTTTGAAGAGCTAACTACATGTTTTTCCGTTTTCAGGATCTTTCAGAAATAAATCCTCCTCATGACAAAAATGAACATGGAGTAGGATTCTGCTCAGTCAGAAGTGGAACTGTAATAAATTACTAGGGTTCACTTTCTGGGATGAATGTTTAATCGTAACATAGAACAGGATGGCCTTGTTGTATAACATAATACTGTTTAGGTTCTAGCAAGGATATCAAGGCAGGCACAAATGTAGTGGCTTGAGTTCGTATATCAAAATCGTTGTTTAACCTCACAGTGTGCCTTAAGTAATTCCTAACAAAAGCTACCATTAGCTGCAATCTCTCTTGTTCATGATGAGGAAACAGCAACAAGCTTTCTGATTTAAGCACAATACTGCCATTTTCAAGAGCCACACCTATACAATTGCCATTATTGGAATTTGGTACAAAACACCAGGTTTTGTCTATTGAAAACATATGCAGTAAAGGGTATTGCTAAATTCTGCCAAATTCTTAGATTTTATTGTCATTATACCTTCTCTTCCCAAACATGATGTTAAGATTATTGTATACTGTATTTTCCTCTAAAACTTAATAACCCTAACATTTAAATCTTAACTTTCCTCTTCTAATTGAAGGCATTGTTCTGTTATACGCAGTAAGTAAATGATGTTTATTAGAGAATTAGTTTAGTTTCCTATATAAAATAAATGTTCACATTTTGAACATTTAAGGTTGTCAATTGTTTTAATGTGGCTAATTTTAAGTTATATAAGGTGTAATTTTTAAATAAACTGTGGTTAGTCCTTTTAGAACTACTGCATGGGACCAGCAGAAAGAGAAATGTGTTAGCTAAAAATACAAAAAAAAATCATTCATGGCTTAAATCACAGATGTCATTTTAAAAAAAATCATTAAGAAAAAAATCCAAGTTTCCTAATTTGCAGTTATAATCTATTAGCATTAATACAAATTACGTGATTTTTATTCCAACAAATATTGTGATATACTTCATTTATTAGTACTTTTATCATTGTTTAAAACAACTCCTTTAGAACATACTTAGTCTCTGTTTTTCCTCCTCTGGAAGGTAAAAAACATTTGACCATTCCAGATCTTTTATACACATTGTCAGATTTAATCCTGGAAAGATCCTTTAAGGTAGATATAATCACCATCTTGTGGATGAAAATACAGGTTCGGAGTGAATAACCTGCTCAAGATTAGATAGCAATAAGTATCCTAGAAAAGAATCCACTGATTCCCAGAGAATCACTTTCTAGAAAACCACCTATCAGCACAGGGTTTGCTGTCAAAACACATCCTGTCTCTTTCCTCTGTCCTTACCAACTCAGATGAAATTGTTAGGTCTGTGAACCCCTTAAAATACACAAACCAAATGAGAAACATGCTGATTGTTGAAATTCTATTTTGTGTTTCTCCATGAACTAAATGGTAAGACAGAAGAATCAAGTCTGTATCCCTAGTTACAAGACTTATTTGCTATCCCCATCCCATCTTACAGGGAAGGCAAATTGTGGGGGTAAACTTTAGAAAGTCGCAGTATTCCAGTACTATTTCATAGGAAAAGTGTGAAAGTGCTTATGTCTTCATTCTTTTATTTTTTTTTATAAAAAGCAAGCATAAAATACAATTACATTTCTACAAAGATGCAACAAAACTTTAAAAAAAATCAAGGGGGTGCGATTTTACTCAGAGGGGACAGCTGATCAAATGTTTATGATTATCTAAACCATGCAGTTTATAACTTATTACAATTCCAAACAAAATTTATTATTACGGGGAAGGGAGCAGGGAGAGGTCCCCCAAGCATAATATTCAGCACTGTCACACAGTGCCTATCTTCAAAGTGCTTTACACATCAACTACGGTGTCTTCACAACACAGGGAAGCTGAAGCCTTATTCCAGGGAAGGAGAGGTGAGTCAGTAGCAGTGTCAATGCAGACTGAGAAACTCTGAAGTGACTTGCTCCAATTGGATTTCAGACATGTTACTTAAAGCATGTTCAATAAGGTTAATACAGTGTTGAGCTTCTCTGTGTTACCACCGGAAACCTACACCAGAATAACAGCAGCAGCATCACTTCTTAAACTGCAGTTTGGCAACCTGGAGTATTTTTTGTTTAGGATCTACAGATAAACAAATGCAAAGTAGATCCTGCAAGCCAGATTTGTGTAATTAGCACAGGTTAGTTTTAAAAGCACTAACCTTTATTTTAGATTTATTGGTATATTCATCCACTAGTTAGCTAGAGAGAATTTTAAACTTTCAGATACATTAAACGATTTTTAAAAAGTTCTAGATAATGTGTTTTTAAAGATTAATACTTAAAAAATTTCATTATACAAATTTTCAACAGTAACCTGGCACCAGTTTTCCTTCCACTTCTGTCTCGCTATCCCCCAAAAGTAAAAAATTCCAACTAAGAAAATCTCAGTATTCACTATTTCTTAGTTCCCAATAGGAGGTATTTATGGCTCTAGGAGAAATCTGGTGTGAAGAACTAAGCAACTTTTATAAATATTTATCTTGGAAGCTTTGGGGCCTCAAGAGAGAAACTGGCACGAAATCGGTTGATTCATATCAAACGAGTGTTGGGAAGGAAACACAAGGGCGCCTGCATTCCTGATGGACATGAAAGCAGCAATGTGGCAAAAAGCAATTTCTTATCCAAGGTCAGACTTCTTTTATTAAGCGCATTTCCATTAGTTGGACAAATAACCTTATAAACCCTTTTGTCGAAACATATGTGAAGAATCTCCATGGGAGAGATTTTTTTCACCCCTCAGAATACCTTTTTCCCCTAAATACTTCACATTAATTTTTCTTGTACAGTTGCCTCACACCATGATTCTCCATATTCTCTAATATATACAGCATTCAAAATTTAAACTTTTGCCTTTTTTCCTCAAATATTTCAGTTACTCATGTGTAAACTTGAAATTATTTCACCTTAATAAAGTTTATTAAAAATATATATATATAATATATATACTCTCCAATTTGGAATAGGATAGAACCTCCCATAGTGTAACAAAATCTTTATATAAAATATTAATTCAGTCTCCTTTTAACAACTCTAATGAATGGAAATATTTATTCTATATAAATTTTATATATTTTTCATTTTTAATCTTACTTTAAAAAAAAAGCTGTCCCCCAAAACCACAACTGCAGAACACACCTGCAGGGAAATGCCATGCATATCCAGCTTTAGCGCAGACAGCATGAAAGAGTGCAGACTGGATAATGTAAGAACAAAACTCAGTTTCAGTACAGCAGTAGGCCAACAGCTACTCTTCCATTTCCACAATAGTATCTATAAAGGGGATCTAACCCTTCAAACATCTCTACTGACCCCAGGGGGAATCAATGACAACTGTCTACTTCCTTCATTGAAATGTTAGATGATGTATTTCAATATCATACCAAACTCTATTTATATAAAGAGAGACTGATAAAAGACTATTTAATTTAAAAACAACTTGATGCTTACCATTGTTGCATACTGTTGTGGTATAAAACACACATTTATCTGGGATTAGTAGCAGGAGTGGTCCTGCATGAACTGTTAACTTTGACAACATTAAAAAAAAAAAAACAAAAAAACAAATTAAGTGCCTTTGAGTCTGCTTCTCGGCAGTTTTGTTTTCTTAACCCAATACTGAAATATTGCCATACACAGTTGTGCTTGAGGATCACATTTAAATATTTAAAATATATCTACAGTATGTCTTCGTTCTCTTTATGTTTGAGACAATTTTTGAATCTTCAGTGTGAAAATGTCAAAATAATCACAAATGTCTTTACCAGAAATAAAAACACATCGAGGGTAGCCATCAAATTTAAAGCAAAGAAAACATTTTGTAGTCATAGACTAATACTGAGGTCAACAAAGGGGTGGGATGAATAATAGATATACATTGAAGATATATTAGTTCCAATACTATCCATTATTGTTTCTATAATCAATACTTTAAAAAAATTTTGTTATACAATCAAAATAGACTGACACTGATATAGCTATTATGTGTAAAAATAGTGCACTATTTTTCTTCCACAAAGCAAGTTTGCATCCTAAGAGCTGGTAAACACTTTTTTTTGTTTTGTTTTTTAATACAGAAAGGGCTGAGACTTTGAAAAACATTAAATTAAGGTATTCAAAATGGGTTATGTTGCCTATCATGAAGCATTAGGAAACTGATATAATTAACTTTAAACTTCTTGTTACAATTAACTGCTTAAACATGAACATGCAGTTTTCATCTGGTACACACGAGTGAGTGACATAAACTCCAACATTATGGCTTTATACAAGTGCATAGTTGCAACTGCATTGAGTAATGATATCTGATTAATGTGTATAAAAAAATAAAGTGGGAAGTTTAAAAAACCCTCTTGCAGTATTACAGTACTATATATATATATATATATATGCTTATATATATATATATACACAGTATAATGGTCACTTCTTAAAGATGCAGTCAATATCACTGTAGTGAAATCCATTCCCAGATTCTTCTGGTAAATGTGCTGGTGAAATCCTTCTGTTGAAGCTGGAGAAGATGATTTCTTTAAACTTTAACTCTTCTCAATTCCTGTGTGCATTGTAGTGTGAGTGACTGCCAAGAAAGCTTTATGGAGCACATCTGAAGAGTTACATGTGGTATCTTTACTCTAGTAACCACTGTTGGTTCAACCTGTTACTTCAGAGGAGCCCAGAAAATATCTCCAAGATGCGTAATCTATATTACAAGGAAAAAAGGGGAACATATCTATGTATATGTGTATATATCAGTCTCTCAGGAAAATATAGCTTTTTAATAAATTTTGGGCCATCATATTTCAGTCTTGTTTCCACTGGAAGAATATGATCACCTTGAATAATGACTGCTTTCACAGAAGGCAGTTAGCTGGAAAGAAATGAAAAATAAAGTTAAATGATACAGTGAATTAATTTAAGAGGTTGTTAAATTCCTAAAAAAGGCATTCCATTCACATTATTAAATTATACTGTCCTCCAACTACTAAACTCCTAAATCATGCATAAGCATACTTACTGTATTATTTTTCTTATTTTTAAGTACATGCAATTACATTCTCAATACAACTATGGACTCTGGAAGTTCCATTTTAACTACGCACATTATACACAAGTTTTACTATAGTTACAGAGCTACTTGGTTAAACAGTATGTCACAGAATAACTCCTTGAAGATAAGTTTGACTTGAGAGTAACTGCTAGCTGCTTCATGTAGCTGAAAGCAGTGGACTTAACGGACCAGGCTCTACCTGGCTGTTTGCCCCTAAGTCATATTTTTATTCATAAGACAGGAACAAATATATTATCGAAGTAAATATATACAAAGATACTGTATAAAACCTGACTATAAGTGATCTCAACAGTACATAATTTATGTCTTGCAACATGCTTACTTAGGTTAAAAAGACATTACTTCTTTTAAATCTATTCTGTGTAAAAGGTTTAAGTCATGGGACTCAACTTTCATTCAAATTTCCTTTAGCCACTATTAGCCAAACTATCTTACATTCTCTAAAAGCACAAGAAAAAGCAAACATTTCACAGCATCACACACAAAAAAGCCAAATCAGAAATAGCTATTTCACAGCACCTATTAGACTTGTAAAGTGTTTATGGTTTCAATTCTTGCAAATTGGAAAGTCAAGTAGGAGGAGAGAGAGGGAGG